TCTTCCCAATATCAAATATTTTAAACAAAACTCAACATATCCGCCAATAACACTGTGCCCTTAAAATAACAAAAATGTAACCCGTAAAAACAAAGTTTTTCACTATAAATCCTTTATATGCGTGGCGGCGAGAGTCATCTCGTCTTCTGGCTTGAGATGGCTGCCACCTATGGGTCAGATGATTGTCTGCAGTATTAAACAATTGGTAATTAAATATTTAATTTTTTTTCCCTAAACAGTGTAACGAGTCTGTGTGGAAAATGTCAGCTCGATTGGATCACGGGAAGTGGGTTAAAAAACGACCGAAAGGTTTGCACGGTCGTAAGCAAGCAAGCAAGCACGCAAGCAAGCGAACTTAATATAAAGGATTTAAAAATGAGGTTACGTTTCGTGCAATGGACCTTCATAGCACGTGACCACTCCATATACTATGAAGAAAGGCCATTTGCCCGAAACGTTAACTATTTGTTTCTCTTCTTTAGGCAGAGTTGTTGACGAATGTGGTGGGTTTTGTTGTTGTTATACAATATGTGGATGTTGTACCACTGAAAACGAAGTATCACCAATGTGTTTAATCATCAAATATAGATCAACCAAATGAGTGGCACAGTACTGATGAAAATTTGAATGTCTCATCATATTCATATCCTCATCACTGGTTGACTCATGCCAACATCCTTCGGGGAACTTAAAAATAGTTAAACTGTGGGAAATCAAACATAACTTTTCCCATGGATAGACTCCACTATGGAAAAATGGAATTTCCACCACTGCATCAGGGATGTACAGTAAATGGGTTCAAGCCGTCTGCGTTTAATTAACGACGTAACAGTAAAGTGCACACTTAGAGAGGTGCGTGCATGAAACGTTGAGAGACAGAGGAAGACGGTGAATCAGACTGAAATTGTTTGTTAATTCGTTAAAGTGTATACTTCGTATATGTGCGTAAATTTCAGAAAGAAAAGAAAATAGTGATTTTAATTCTACAACTTTGCATCATAATCGGAACGCTCAAACCGACATCAATCCTCTAGCGCCCTGTTCCAGCGAACACTCTGACACCAAATGTCCACAGAGACGTGCAATCCGCAAAGGGAGTTAACACGATTTCGCACCAATGACAACCACACACAACATCTTAACAACAATCAGCCAAGACCTCGACGTCACCTCGCCGTCGACTCAAGCACCGATCCCATCCCTTCTGCTGCTGTCACCGTCCTAGGATCTCACCCCGATGACGGGAGAACGCTGATCGTGAACAGAGTGGAGAAACGCGGACGTCCAAAATAAACATCCTTCTCATCATTCCGGACTCAAACATCATCATCATCATCCTCCACGCACCTCCTCCTTGGCTCTGTCATTCCTCCCCGAAGACACCGGTGGCGTGGCCATCAACCCCATTAGAACATCACCAGGTCGAAGTGCACATCTCCTTAATGATTTTGAAAATCAAAGACACAGACGCAGTAGTGCAGGCATGTCCAAAGTCCGGCCCGCGGGCCAATCACGGCCCGCGGTCAGCTTTGGTCTTATAATGTGTTAGTTATGGCTCGCCAGCTGTCAGAATAAATACATCATAAAACTCATGGAAATTTCAGGTATTCTATACAGTTTGCTCAATGTTATCTGACTGAATGAAAGGCAGAATTGCGTTTTTAAAGTTGTTCACGTCTGCCTGAGTGGCTCATATTTGGTTACATTGTCATTTGAAAAATAAAGGTAATTGTGACAATGAAAATTGTTTTATAACAATGTGTATTTCCACGTAACTTTTGTGGTTAAAACAATGTCAAAAGGAACTATTGGCCCCCGGGCATCTTCACTTTATCAAATGTGGCCCTCTTTGCAAAAAGTTTGGACACCCCTGCGGTAGTGCGACTGTGGCCATCCAACCCAACACTGTGGCCCATAATAATGAACGGCTGTAGGGGAGCAGCACAACGACACGGAGTATCACCTGAAGCCTTCTCGTGGCGAGCAGACCTGGACATTGGCCTTAAGATCCTGAACCATACTGCCATACGGTTGACCGGTTATTGTTTAACAAACCTAAGCGCGAAGCGTGTGGCGATGTTTTTTGAGAGAGGGGTCCTTTACCCGTGAACGTCCAGCAGTGCAATCTGCGTTAGTTCTACCGGACATGTGCGGGCGAAGAACTTCATGGCTCATCAGATTCCTCCAGTATAAATACGTATTCTGATTCTGTGTTCAAGCAAAGCCTGATCTCTACTGATGACGGACGTTAATGTCAAAACCGAACCACAGTTTTTACTTGTTTTGAACTAACGTTGCCGTTAATGGACTCCTAGAATAATCCTCTTTGCGGCTTATGGGATATAAGACTAAAATAATAATAATCAAGTAATGTTTCATTTGGAAGGGCAAATCTCAGATTGGAAAGTCTTCCTTGTTCCGCTGGACGTCTGTGAAAAAAAGCTTTACAGCTCATCGGATTCCTCTCAAGTATAAATACGTAGAAGGGAAATAATAAAAATAAAAATAAAACATAATAAAATCATTCTCAGGACGTTTCGGCCACAACGCAAGCAGCCATCCCCAGGTGAAGACCAGGTCTGACGCTCTCCCCGACAGACCTGGTCTTCACTTGAGGACAGCTGCTTGCGTTGTGGCCGAAACGTCGTGAGAATTATTTTATTATTTTAATTTTTATTATTTTATTATTTCCCTTCTACGTGACTTTACCGAAAGAACCAAGAAGATGAATCCCTGCAGTCACGAAAGCTTTAAATCGAAATATAAATACGTATTCTGATTCCGAGTCCAAGCAAAGCCTGCCCTCTACTGATAACAGGCGGTAATGTCCACACCGGACCGGAATTGTAACTTGTTTTAGAACTAACGTTGCTGTTATTTATATTCTTAGGTTTTTTTCGGTAAAGTCACGTAAGTAAAAAATTAAAATTAATAAAAGTAAAATAAAAATAAAATATAAAAATCACGACGTTTCGGAGGCAACACAAGCCTCTGTCTTCAGGTGGAATAGTCACAGCACGACAGCACGATAGCTGTGACTGTACCACCTGAAGACGGGGGCTTGTGTTGCCTCCGAAACGTCGTGATTTTAATTTTTTATTTTATTTTTATTTTACTTTTATTAATTTAAATTTTTTATTTACGTGACTTTACCGAAAAATCTAAGAATATTAATCCTTGCAGTCACGAAAGCTTCAAATCTAGAATTAAGTTGCTGTTATTATTGATGCACTCCCAGGATGACCCACGGTGTGGCTGATGGCACGTGTCACAAAAAATAATAATAATCAAGTAATGTTTAATTTGGAGGTACAACTCTCAGATTGGAAAGTCTTCCTTGTTCCGTTTTATAGTTCATCGGATTCCTCAAGTATAAACACGTATTCTGATTCTGAGTTCAAGCAGAGTCTGACCTCTACTGATGACAGACGCGGAAATGTCCACACCGGACCGGAATTGTAGCTTGTTTTAGAACGAACGTTGCTGTTATAATTATTGATGCACTCCCAGAATGACCCACGGTGTGGCTGATGGCACGTGTTACAAAATAATAATCAAGTACAGTAATGTTTAATTTGGCGGTACAAATCTAATGTAGGATTCCTCCAGTGTAAATGAATAACAACTTGTGATTTCTGAGATTTGCGTTGGCTTGAGTGACGCTCAGCGTTCTAGATTTGAAGCTTTCGTGACTGCAAGGATGCATGCTCTTCGGTTTTTTCGGTAAAGTCACGTAGGGGGAAATAATAATAATAAAATAATAAATGAAAATAACTAAATTAAATCACTGAGTGCATCAATGTAGTTATTTTCATTTATTCTTTTATTTTATTAAATTAAATCACTGAGTGCATCAATTTAGTTATTTTCATTTATTATTATTTTATTTTATTATGATTCATGCTCTTAGGTTTTTTCGGTAAAGTCACGTAGGTAAAAATTCTTATAATAAAATAAAATAAATGAAAATAACTAAATTAAATCACTGAGTGCATCAATGTAGTTATTTTCATTTTTTATTATTTTCTTTTATTATGATTCATCCTCTTAGGTTTTTTCGGTAAAGTCACGTAGGTAAAAATAATAATAATAAAATAATAATAATAAATGAAAATAACTAAATTAAATCACTGAGGGCATCAATTTAGTTATTTTCATTTATTATTATTTTATTATTATTACCTACGTGACTTTACCGAAAAAAACGAAGAGCATGAATCCTAATAAAATAAAATAATAATAAATGAAAATAACTAAATTGATGCACTCAGTTATTTAATTTCGTTTTTTTCATTTATTATTATTTTATTTTATTATTGTAGGTGAGGGTGGGGGGGTTATAAAGGCGGAGCCGGGGGATCTGCGAGGACCAATAGGATTACGGCTGTGGCGTGACGTCATGCGACGAGTAAACAGCCGCGGCAGGAGGAGGTGGGTAAGGCCGATGGCCATAATTCACAACAATTATCGTGTAATTGTATGCGTTCGCTAACCAAATCGTACACGCACGCGTGCGGTTGCATGTCGGCGCTAGAGGAGGCAACTAGCCGTGCGTCGCGAGTTTGAGTTTTTTTTTGTTTTTTCATTTTATTATTTTTTTATTGCGGGATTGACGGTCGAGGCCTAAGGTGGGTTGGGAAAGCCTCGCTCTGGCCTAAGCGGCCTGCCGCCGGGAGAGGCGCGGTCGCCCCGGTTCCCAAACGGCTTCCCTTAGCGCGAGTTCTCGCCCACCGGGGCGAGGGAAACTCGTGTATCGTTTATTCGAGACGTTTGCATTGGAGACGGTGTAAAGGGGGATTGGAAATGGGGTTTTTTTTGCCCTAAAGTGTAGTCAAAATGGTTTGCACAAAAGGGCGAATGATTCTCATGAGATCGGTATTTGCGCGATAATGCTACGTAGGAACATGGTGAGATGAGTGCATAATATAGTGATGATTGCAAAGTCATCGGATATGGAATGATATTGATGAATGTGTAGGATGAGGTGTATGCTCGTAGATGATTATGATGAGTTGGCCGGATGTTGAACTTCTTTCGCGCCGTACGTAGCCAACCGTGAAAATCTCGTACCTGTCAACCCACACGGTTTAACCGTATTCTTGTTGGGGGAAATTGAGTTGACAGGTCCATACGGCGTATGGACCTTATTTTAATGGTTTTATAGGATGAACGTTGAGATTTCTAAGAGCACGGGGTGACCAATAGGGTCCGAATTTGTCTGTAATAAGGTAGGGACTGATAAGGGGTTGACAGGTATGACATCGGAAAGTTGAGGATAGTCCTTTGTATGATGCAGTATATGGTATATGATATATGGGATGATGGTGATGATTGCATATGATAATGGCGATTAATGCATGTGTACGTATAAACCCTAGTTTGCAAGGCGTAATTATTTTCCATTACTGTACCTCCATCATCTATAAATGATGAGATGAACGCAATTTTTTAAGAAAAATAGTGCAGGCCGGAAAACCATATATATTTCAGCAACACAACAACGTGTAAAAGGCACTCGGCCTTTGCGCATAATGAAAATAAACCACTAGTAGTTCCTGAAGAAGTGCATTGTGGTCCTAATGCCATAGATCACCATTAAAATAAAGTTCTCTTCCTTTCAGGGCTGGTCTCACAATGTGCTCTGCACCACCAAGCACGGTGATTTCGTGCCCTGGCTTCTGCGAGCTGTCCCCACCACCATCTCCTCCACCACTTCCGTTTGTGGTTCAAATTCCGGACGAAATTGACCCTGATCATCTAACCCCAGCGGAGCTTCCACCACCACCTCCTCCTCTTCCCAATCTTCCACCTCCCCCATGCCATCGTCTCAGTTACCATAACGGTGCTGGCGATGATGGCGGTGGCAACAGTGGTGGCGGTATCGGTGACGGTTGTGGTGGTGGAGATGGAAGCTGCGACAGGGCGGTGGCTTCCCGTGGAAGTGAGGCTGCCGAAGAGACCGGGTTTATCCCAGGGTCCAGATTCGGGTGCCGCGCTTGCGATGCCGCGGCCGATGGAGCTGCGAGCCATGAGGCAGCGAGGCGAGCGGGCGGTGTCGACATGAGGTCAAGGGACCGCCGTGACAAGACCTCCACCACAGGTATAAACTAAACTAAAAAACTTAACTATTTTTTATTTTACCAGGTAAGGCGCACTGAGCACTGTAGCTCTTTTTCAGAAGTGACCTGGCCACAAATTGATAGCTCAACGAAGTGGCTTATCACCTGGAAATTTATAGCAGCCAAATACTCGAAACGCATGTTTCTAAGGTTATGCCAGTTCACAGCCCATACAGTTAATTCCTGATTGTGGAAATATCCTTTTTAAGGATGAACCATGCGAAAAAATAAGTAAAATGTTTTATTTTCATGATGGATTAATTGTCTGATTTTAACTTGTCAAAAGTCAGTGATTCGGTGCCCACATAACTGCAGACGAGCAAACAATTATGCAAATAAACTGGCTAACAAGAACAAAAAAATCGTACATAATGCGTTCTGTAACGTTTTCCAGCATTACGTTGTTCTGAGTAGTATTTAATTTGTGATAAAAAGTTACCTTCCAAACCGTACGACGAGACGTCACAGAGTGCAGGCTGTGTGATGTCACACACAGAGATGTCACTGGGGAGCAAGGCATGTACATGACATGTGACAGCTGTGTTTTATCGCCAAACAGCTACGAAATCGCTGATACATTTTACAGTGTTAATGCATTTTTCTAAGCAAAATTTACATACGTTTTGCATTTGTGTTTTTTTAACTTTCAAAGCAAGGTTGTAAGTGGTAATGCATTGTCAGTCTTGTTGTGATCATTCAGAACATTGTGAACACAAAGTTGCGTAAAAATGTATATCATTACGCAAATTAATTGTGCTTTTAACCTGGTATCTTAAGTTTTCATCTGATTAAACAAACTACACTAATCATTACATTGTATCGCATCACACTGAAGTACATTACACTGTTGTATCACATCATATAGTGTAGACTTGAAGCTTTCGTGACTGCAATAATCTATATTCTCTGGTTCTTTCGTTAAAGTCACGTAGGTATAAAGTAAAATAAAGTCACCTACGTGACTTTACCGAAAGAACCAGAGAGTATCGTATAGTGTTGCATCGTGTATTGTGCTGTTGTGATATGTTTCTGTCTGGTGGGGGCTCCCCATAGCAGCTGGACGAGGAGAGAGCTGGGGCCAGGAGGAGCGCCCCAGCCACATGGAGCGATACCTGGCACTGAGGCGCAAGCTGGAAGAGGTATTGAGTGTGCGCAATGAGCCTGCGGCCGGTGGCGGTGGTGGTGGCGGCAGCGGTACTAGTGCCAACAACACCAGCAGCAGCAGTGACACTACTAGTGACACCAGCAGTAGCAGCAGCAGTGAAGATGAAATTATTTATGAAGATGGCCACTTGTACACCAGTGCCGGAGTGTGGGGCGGACACTGGGAGCAAGGGGCCGACGGAGTAACGTTGGCAGAATCGGCGGCAGCGGCAGTAGAAGCAAGGCCAGTTTGGACCATAATTGATGATCCTGGCAGTACTGGTTGCCGAGATGGAGACGCATCGTCAACCGAGCACTGCGTAAGCAGCAGCGGCGTCTGCGCTGGCGATGACGATAACGACGACGACGACGACGCCAGCTGGGCGGCCGTGACGCGCGGCTGGGGCAGGAGCCGCAGCGACCTGGGGCTGTCCCAGGCGCGGTTGCAGGGAGCGGGAGCGAGCGAGGAAGTGAGCGGCGGGGGTGGTCGCAGGGGCAGCGCCGGTGACCAGGCGACGCTGTGGGTGTACCGGAGGGAGGGCGCACGGGATAGGCTGCTCTCTGATGATGACGAGGAGGACGAGGAGGAGGAGGACGCCTTCCACACGGCTTCGGGCGGCAGCGACGGGTGCTCGTGGGAGCATCGCGAGCGAGGTGGCTGCACGTTATATTTTGCGTTCGTCTTTTTGGAAAGGTCCGTGGCCTTGTCGCATTGGAGTTGTTGCACCACTCCTGTGGGTTGTAGGTCACAATATTTTCCATCACTCTGCACCTGTTTGTGTTGGTTGCAGTGAGACTCTGGGTTGCCACAGAATCTCTAATTGCTACTTGACTCTTTAATCACCTGCCATATAACCATGCCTACACGCCTGAACTGTATTTTTAACTAGGTGAGAGCCTCATTATTGTTCATTCACTCATACAGTTCGTTTATAAGCAGGTAAGCGCCAATTTACTCTTAAGTGTCTCATCAAGCAAGACCTGGTTAAAACAACATAATATGTTAAATATGATAAAAGATCAATGAAACTGCAAACACCTCTTGCAAAATGATAAACTTAATTGGGGATTTTCAAAACCTTAAATATAACTAATAATTTTCAATAACATTTTAATGAGGTAGTAGGCTAGGTTCAACAGCCCTTAATAGTACTCTCTCACAAAGAATATACAGCGCAAAAATAAAACCACTGTCATAGTCATTGTGAGTCGCTCACCATCAATAGTCGGAGCATCTGCCCGGTTGAACGAGCAATGGCCGATGACACGGCCTAGCGGTAACACGCTCGCCGCTTCCTGTAGATGTTCACGGTTCGAATCTGGCAGTCACCCTGGTTAACACCGCAGGTTTAACATCCGTAAAAATAGGTGCCGTCTGCATCACAGTGGACGTTAAGAGTTCTCGTGACGTCTTATGCAAGATTAGGCCATTGTGTGCTCGTGCCAAATTAGATAAATTACCTGCCACTTATATGTATCTTGAACTTCTTTTGCACTGCACATAGCCAACCGTGCTAACATTACTCAATTGAAGTATACATAGCAATGATCACCCCCTGCTGTGAACGCTTGGCAGGACCCTCCATACAACAGTCAATAGGCTTATAGAGGCTTTTCTGGGCAAAGGTGTTTAATAATAATATTGTCTTTTGATGCACTAACCAACATTTTAAATTTTTTTATAAATGTTGCTAAATAATTAACTGGGTAGTCAGGTTTCCACATCCTCGCTCTCTCGCACAGACGAACTGGCACTCGCAAACACTGAAGACGAGTTGCTGCTGCTCCCACCCGGCCCCGAGACGTCCGACCAATCGGGCGACTGCGCAATTTGCGCCAGTCGGAGCGCGGCTTCCTCGCCGGCAAATCACGGCATGCCGTGCAGCCTGTTTGCGGCGGATGGTGGGGAGCTCGCCGCATCGGAGGATAACGGGTTTGACTCCATTCCCAGTCTCAACGAGCCGTTTCTCGATCGCACGGAAAGCTTTGCCGACGGCGGAGAAGTTTCGTCCGGGTAAGTTCCAACTTTCGCGTTATTTTTATTAACAGGCTGCGTGGGAAGTGTGCTTCTTGGGAAGCCTTGTACAATTTCAACTGTGTTAAGTTCACAGCAACACAAACGTATCGCAATGGTGGTTCAAATATATACGTAGAACGTTTCAGCCAATTGGTGTATAAGTATGCAACAATTTCGCTATGTTTGTCATTAACACACAATATTAACGTAACCACAACTGCCAACTGCACCAATAACACAACCATCACCACCACCAGTATCACGGGATCGGCACCACCATGGTATTGTTGTTGGTGGTGGTGTTGGCCTCTTTTTGGTGGTTGTGGTGATGATTAAGAGCCACCCGCTGAATTTATTATTCCAAGACCAAATAAACACACCACCACGAGCCCCGATGACTTGCTTGAAAGCTCCCATTGTCAATGATGCTGTCACTGAGGATTTGTTGTTTTATTTTGGTGGTGGGAGCAGCAGGAGGAGCAGGGGGAGCAGCAGTGCCAATGGAGACATGGTGGGGCACAGCCTGCCCTGGGCTCCATGCCCCAACGATGTTCTCTCCCCTCCCGGCGGAGCCACGGGGGGACCTCTCCATCGACCATGTGGCGGTGAGGAGGAGGAGGTGGTGTTGTTGGTCGGGATTGGATTGCAGAAGTGGTATTTTTTGGTTGGTGGTGAAGATGTGGCCAACATCAGTGACGTGTATCTGACAGACCCCAGGCCCTCCCCCAGGTTTACTTGGCCTTAAATGAGTGCCTGGTACAGCGTGTTAACATCACCACCAACAAAACTTGCCCCAACAGTGTTTCAGGTAATATGGGCATCGGTTTGTATATATGTTGAAGTTCTTTCGCACTGTACGTAGCCAACCGTGCTAATGGGAGGTGCGGGATAGTGTTGATAGTGGTGGCAGTGTTGTCGGTAAAGTGGTATTGTGGTGGTGGTGTTTGGGGGTGTTGTGATGATGCTGGTGGAGGATATGGTTGTCATGCTGCCCGTACTGTTGGTGTTGCTGGTGGTGACATGATTCGGCCTCAATGAGTACCTGGTGCGGTGTGTAAAAATAATCGCCACCGGTGCTGGCCACCCACCCCCTCCTGTAGCTTGGCAGCCTTCATTGGTGCTCGCTAACAGCGCTTGCCCCAACAGTCTGTTTCAGGATGTACGGGGGGGGGGTCTTTGTCATTGGTGACATGATCATGGTAGACACTGTGATGTTTGGAGTGCTGGTGTTGAATATGGGGCTGGTGGTACAGATGTTCATGGCGTTGATGGAAGTGTTGGTGGTAGTGAGGATGGTGTTGGTGGTGCTTGTGTTGTTGGCGATGATGGTTTGGTATGATGTTGGTTGTTTTTTTAGTGGTGACCTGTCATAGTGGTGGTCATAGTGGCCTGGGATGTGACCCCAAGCTATGGGTCAAACGAGTCGTCATTATCTCTGTGTGGTCGATAAAATGAACACCACCCTCTAAGAAGCTGCTACGCGTGATGCGTGAAAGTGGAATTTTCACCACCGATTCAGAAGTATTAATGAATCACAGAAGTTGTCACGATCATCGTAAAAAAAAAAACTCTCATTCACAGCCCTTTACCAATCCATTGATGGATGAAGACCTCTGCACATCTTTTTCAGTCATGGGGGTCGTTTGGCCATACTTCACCACCCTGCTCTGTTAATTGGTGAAGGGGTGGAGAGGCTAGGTCCTGCCATCACCAGGCGCATCACCCTCGGGAGTGTATTATATACAGGGGTTTCCAGCCTTCAGAAGGCAAGGTTTCGGAGTGGCCAGCATTCCATTATGATTTTGTTTATCGACTCATCGTCCCGGCTGTAATTAAAATGATAGGCTAAGTAGCCACCGACCAGGGTGACACCCTGTCCCCCCTTGCGTTTGCAGATGAGGCCGAATCTCCGAGCGCCGGTCAATGTTGCGCGGACTCCTCCCACGACTCCACCCCGAACGCCTCCCCGTCGCACTCCCAGCCGCACGCGCCGCCGCCGCACTCGCGCCTACGCCACCACCACTCGCACCACCACCACTCGCACCATCACCACCACCACACGCACCACCACCACTCGCACCACCACCACCACACGCACCACCACAACGCGCAGCGCCACCCTTCCTCCACGCTGGCATCATGGCTGCGTCAGCCGTTGCTGGTACCGGAGATTCCGGCGGTGGCCGCACCGCAGCGGCTACCGCCGCAACCGCCGCAACCGCCGCCGCAGTTGCAACCGCCGTCGCAACCGCCACCGCCGCCGCCGCCACCGTGCTGCGAGTTGTGGGTTGCCGCCGCAACCACCGGCGCCGCGCAAACGCAGCCGACTGTGGCTCACCGGAGCCACCCGTACTTCAACGCGCTGGGCGGCGTCGGTGGCGGCGGCCACCACTACCACCACCACCGGGGCGGCGTGGGGGCCGGCGCCTGGCGCTCGCCACTGCCGACGTCTCTGCCACCGTTGCTGTTGGTGCCGCCCATTGCCCCCGCTCCCTTCGCCGCGATGCAGCCCTTGGACGGCACCATGGGGTTTAACGGATACTCCGTGCTGGGTCTCGGGGGTCAGCCGGGCCCGCCCACGGGCACCGGTGGTGCTGTCGGGCGCCTCCGCAACGCAGCCTCCAGCAGCGTCGGCGCCAATCAGGTTCGCTTGTGGGTGGACGTGATGGAAGCAAAGGGATCGGGTAGGTTGGGCGGCTAATAAATTACTCTTCAAGATTGATAAAACGGGTAAATAATGAAGCGATGAATTAAATTTCTCAGCCTGAAAGAATATTATACGAAATCTACTTGTATTGCACTGCTTACAGGTCAAAAAGAAAATATTTTGAACGTTTGCAGAAGATATGTTATGTCGAAGCCAGCCCAACCGATATTTACCAGCATGATAGTGCATCGTGATTTTTTTCTATTCTAGTTGTCTTCCCCCATACATGCTTCATCACATGTAGCTCTCTCCTCTAGAGCCTCTCCCCATATCCCTCCTCTCATCCCCACCTGTAAACGAAACCACGTAACCTGTTGATCGCTCTCAATACGATCCTGCAACGATGCCCAGATCACCCTCACTAATCCTCAACATCGTCCAATGACTCTCCCATCTCGCTCCACTCCGCTCCATTCACTCGACGCTGCTCCGGCAACCGAAGCTTTTCTGCTGCCCACACAGTCTGGAATGCTAGCCCCCTTCCACTCAAGCTGTTGACTTGGTGCCCCTGTCTGTAGGCGGAAGGCCTTCCTCTTCCCCTCTGCCTGACTGCGTCATCTCTTCTCTGTATTTTATATTTTTTACTCATACACCTCTTTGTTTTTCCGAGATGCACATCCAACTACTTCGTGCAGCGTCTAGAGATGTGCTTACATTCAGGTTCCCCATAAGTCCGAAGTTGATCTTACATGACAGGCTCCAGAGAGATGGTGACAACTCGGAAGGTCTTCATTCAACAGTTGATTGTCCACGGCTGATGCTCGGCCACAATGATAATTCCAGCTTGTATGTTAACCGCTTTTGTTCACATTTTCAGGATATGACGGATAGTCCCAGTCGTCGCTCGAGCCTGGACCGAGCCCCAGCTGACCCGGTCTCCTCGGAGGGGCTGACCGCATTGCCGCCCGATGGAGCCATGCCCGCTCACCCGGCGCTGTCGTCCGAGTGCCCCTCTCCACTCGTGCACCGCAGCTTGTTCAGCCAGGCGTGGGGACCGTCCGGCCTCTCTACGCCTTCAGGCACAGCCATGCGGCGTGTCGCCCACTGTGAGTATTACCACCGCCACCATTGCGACTGCCGTCACCATCACCGCCATAACCAGCACCCGCCGTCTTAGCCACCGCCGCTAACAATTGCACCACCCCCTCCTCACCACCGTCACCATCGTCACCGCCATTACCACCACCCATCGCTAACGCCATGAGCGATTCTGCTGTAGGCTGGGTGATGTCTGTTACCTAAGATGTTCGCAGTCTTGGATGATTGTTGTTTGTGGGCCGCTACGAAGGGGCAGGCCTCAAATGGCTGTGGGCCGTATGGCGCACAGTCTCGAACCATGTTCGCCCCTGCCCGTGTACGCGTACAAGTGAAGTGCTTGGCTGTTCCTCCCCTGACGCTTCGTTTGTGACTCCCGCTTGCAGGCAGCGCATGCGCGCGTCTCCCCTCCCTGTGCGTCTCCCCATCGCATCGCCGCGTCTGCCCGTGCTTCTCGTGCCCTCCAACCCCGCCGGGCGGCTGCGCCGCTACCTCCGCTCGTGGGCGGTCATCCCCGGCGGGAGCTGTCGACGGGGCCGGCGAGACTCGCCGCCTTGACGACGATACCGCGACCGCAACGACCGTCGCCGCGACAAGCGTGACTGCGGCGGCAGCAAACCAGGTGCCCGCTCAGCCGCCGGAATTCTTCTCGCTTCCTGCCTCGCCCGCTTCGCCCACCTCGCCCGCCTCGCCCGCCTCGCCGCGGGGCCGCCGGCGGCAGCAGCAACTGCTGGGGCGCTGCTGTCACCAAGCGAACTGCGCCATCAGGCGCGCGGTGACCGCCGGAGATCACCAGCAGCGGCGCCGGCTCGCGGCAGCGCGTCGATCCTCGACCCCCGATCCCTTCTTCCTCTTCGACGCAAACGGCGAGGAGGACGACGATGAAAACGACGATGACGAGGACGACGACGTGGTCGTTGACGGCGCTGCCGCTTCGGCCGCGTCCACGCAAGCGTCGGACGCAGTTGGTGCAGGGACCGGTGCTGCTGCTGCCGCTGACGTTGCGGTGTTGGTAGCGGCCACCCGCCAGTTGATGGCGAACCGCGTCGAGCGGCTCCACCGCTGCTGGGAAGCAACCAAGGCGGCGCTGGCAGTGGCCACCGACGTGCCACCCGACACCGATGGCGCCGCGGAGTCGTCGGCATCGGCGTTAGGCTGCGCCCGGCCTCCGACCCCGGTGCCTGGCTTGGATGAGGTTCAATTCCCGGGCGAGGGCGACGGCTCGCACTTCGACTTCCCGCCCCTGCCTCAGGAGCTGCGGGCGGAGCCACACGCGCGGGGAAACGGCGCCGGCGATAATGTCGGTTCGTCGACGCTGCTCCACTCTACACCCAAGCGGCGCTGCGGCTTCCGCTGGCCGTCGACCACGGGGGTGGCTGGGCCGGCGGATTGGGCCAATGCCTGCCAGCGTTTGCCACGCTCCCCGGCGATTGGCTACCCATTCCGCCGTCGCTCAGCCGAGCCATCTGATGTTTTCCTGTCAATGCCGCCGCCGCCGCCGCCACCACCGCCACCACCGCCGCTGCCGCCACCACCGCCGCCGCTGATGGTGCTATCCGCGTTGGTGAGGAGTGCGGCGCTGGGAGCACCGGTGGAATTGGCCAGCGCTGGGGAAGCCTCGGAACGCCAGCCGCCCTTCGAACGTGACGGTGCGGACGGGGCAAGGACGACCAGCTCGAGCTATGAACCGATTGGTGGGCGCCTCCCGCAGTACATGCAGTCCGAGTCGCAGGTTCTGGGTGGCAGCTATGATCTCGCCCTGCCACGAGCCCACTTCTACCCGCACATGGCATCCTTGTACCACCACCATCACCACCACCACCACCGCCACCATCACCACGGCCACATCCAGCAGCAGCAACAGCATCAGGAGCAGCAGAGGAGCGGAGGGGATGGCCAGGCCTTCGCGCACCACACTTCGATGAGAGGGCACGGGGCGGCCGATGCACGGCTGTCTTCGCACGTCTCGTATGGACAACCCATCTTCGTGGCGAACGGCGGCGTGCCGGTGCCGTACTACGTCCGCCAGCAGCAGCAGCAGCAACAGCAACAGCAGCCCAACGATGATGGCGATGGTGTCGGGTACGTGGGCGCTTGCGCGCGAGCGTTGGGGACAGCTTGGGCACTTTGAGTGGTGGAGACCATGGTCGTGACTGCAGCTGCTGCTGTGATAGCAGTGAGAGTGTAGCCACCTCCATTGTGAGCTGTGGTGGTAGCTGGCCGTGCCTGCCATTGGCCGGACGTGCTCTGCAACCGCTGCTGCTGCTGCTGCTACAACAACAGCACCGTAGGTCAACCAATTATGGCTGTAAGTCGGAGCTAATTAACGTGTCTACCTTTTTTTGATAAGGGAGAAACAATCGCCAATGGTCTATGTACATAACTTTCAACCGCTTCATCAGTGCCTACCTTATTATAGACCAATTCAGACCTTATTGGTCACTCCATGCCCTTAAAAATCTCAACGGTCATCCTACAAAAGTCCCCATCACAAGGCAGAAACACAAAAAATAAAAAAAAATTTCCCGTATTTAAACGGCTGTACGCCGTATGGACCTGAACTAAATTTGCCTGTACAAGAATACAGGTAAACCGTATGGTTTACCCGTATGTAGGACACACGGGGGCGGGGAGTTGGATCTTTATCTTTGATTCATAATATCGTGCAGGTACGTCAACGTTTTAACGATAACCCTCCACCACCCGACGACAAAGCCAATCAAATCAAGTTGTCACACCAAGGGCAAAAATATGCCGACGGATTTTGGCTTTTCGGCAAGCGGGAATGTCGAGAGACAAGCAACATTTTGACAAATTTCGATTTAAAGCTTTCGTGACTGCAGGGATTCATCTTCTTGGTTCTTTCGGTAAAGTCACGTAGAAGGGAAATAATAAAAGAATACAAATAAAACATTAAAATAATTCTCACGACGTTTCGGCCACAACGCAAGCAGCCGTCCTCAGGTGAAGAACAGGTCTGTCGGGAAGACAGCATCTGAATGAGTCTTTCCGACAGACCTGTTCTTCACCTGAGGACGGCTGCTTGCGTTGTGGCCGAAACGTCGTGAGAATTATTTTATTATGTTTTATTTTTAATATTTTATTATTTCCCTTCTACGTGACTTTACCGAAAGAACCAAGAAGATGAACATTTTGACAGTTGCGCTGGAGGTGACTTTTAACGGCATCGTCAGGCTTAGCTCGTGATGCAGGTCCTTTAAGTAGGTGCCATGATGTCATCAGAACAGGCACGCATGATGTGAACCGACTTGGTAGTTCGAATTGATTGCTCGTTGTGATTGGCAGGCTACATTCGTGTAATAAGATGACTCTATTTAGAGGTTGGTGATAATAGGCTTTTGTTCATTATATTAAGGTATTGAAAGCCTGCGTGTGGATGCATGTCCCTGTGCGGGTAAATGTCTTTGTGTACGTGTGGATGTGTGCGTGTGTTTCTCTGTGCACCTAGCCTGGCACAAGTGCCATGGTTACATCTTTGCCACTTAGTGCCGGACCGTGGTGGCTGTTATTTTTATTGTTGTGTACATGTGTGCATGGGTGTTTGTATCTTGTGTGTGTGTATGTGGCACAGTAAGGAACACGGGTGGTACATCTTCCAGTCATGTCAGTCCGTTAATCCACAACGCCTGAGTTTGTCCCGTGACCTGCCAGTGAGCCTCAAGAGTGTACCTAGCCTGGCACGAAGCGGCACGGGTGACATCACCGCCGCTTAATGTCATCGTTGCCGTGTGACCGTTCACCACTGTCTGGCTTCCGCAGGGATCGCGACCGGGAGCCACCGCTGTCCGTGCCGCGGTACCGCGCGTTCCCCCGCACGAGTGCCGCGCACCGTGGGGACGACGCGCAGGCCACTCGAGACGACTCCAGGTGACGCTTCGGTGCCGGTGGCGGTGGGCAGTGGCAGCAGCGGCGGTTGGCGCGCTGCGCTACGAACCCGGCGGCCCGAGTTCGATTTTCGTTCGCGGCCAACACCGGTGACGGTTATCTGAACCGGTTCTGGGCTGCTCCTAGTTTGACTCTGCCTCAAATGAGTGCCTGGTGCGGTGGGTCAACATTGCCTAATGGGGAGACAAAGGCGGTCGGGCGTGGTGCTGGCCACCCTCCCCCTCGTGTGTCTTGCTGGCCTTCATAGGTGCTCATTTAAATGAAACTTAACAGCACTTGCCCAAAACGTCTGTTAAGGCTATAAGGGAGGGATATTTGTCTTTGAAGTTGGTGGGGATGGTGGTGGCAATGCTGGTGGTGTTAAAATTGTAGGTGGCAGCGCTCGTTTTGTTGCCGATTCAGTTGTGATGTTGGCGATGATGACGGTGGCTTGCGGTGGTTGCGACAATGTTCGGCTTGCAGGTGGTGGTGGTGGTTATGATTATGAAGTTGTAAGAAGTGGTAATGCTTATAGCTTTGAGGATGATGACCTTAATAACGATAATGTAAGCCAACTGCTGCTGCAAGCAATGACTGACGACGATGATTTTCACGACGCATTGCGACGACGATGACAAACCGCAGGTCTCGCGGCGAGGCCGACTTCCATCACGCCGTCCCGCGCACCGTCCTGCCGCTGCCGCCCCACTCGCTGCTGCGCTCCACACGTCCCTCCCCCGTCCGGGTCCAGCACTCCACGCTCGGGAGCTCCTCCTCCCACCCCTCGCCCATGGTCAGTCGATAAACATTCGTACGGCGCTGTGCGAGCGAATGGCCACCGATTTACGCAGATATTGGCCAATCAAAAAAAAAGGGGGGTGGCGTTTCACACGACGCTATACCAACCAATGGGATATTGCTCGATGCGTGGGATCACTTGGAAATGAATACACGCAGTGATTAAACCTCGAGGGATCGATACTCTAACGTGGCTGTCGCCTGAATGTCCCGAATCGATACAATAGACACCTCCAAGTCGGGTTCCACAAGACCATATATTGGCAGAGATGCACCGCTAGGGGCAATGCCAAAGCCTGCTTCCTTCCATATATGGGCAGGTGGCTTATCGATGATTTCGTCGGGTGTCCAACTTTATTAATAAGACTTTTGATTTGAAGCTTTCGTGACTGCGGGAATCCATACTCTTTGGTTCTTTTGGTAAAGTCATGTAGGTAGAAGAATAATAATAGATCACGACGTTTCGATCGCTACGCAAGCAACCGTCTTCAGGTGGGAGTGGTTGCTTGTGTGGCGATCGAAACGTCATGATCTATGATTATCTTTTTGCCTACTTGACTTAACCGAAAGAACCAAAGAGTATTTAATAATAATCAGGTGAAGACGGCTGCTTGCGTTGTAGCCGAAACATCGTGAGAATTATTTTATTATGTTTTATTTTTATTATTTTATTACTTCCCTTCTACGTGACTTTACCGAAAGAACCAAGAAGATGAATCCCTGCAGTCACGAAAGCTTTAAATCGAAATAATTATATAGCGCTTTTTATTAAGGATCTCAAAGCGCTGTACAGGATGCAGCAGCAGCACCCATACACTGGGCATGAAAATAATATAAATACATTTTAAGAATCCATTTACTAAATTAACTAAAATTTCGATTTAAAGCTTTCGTGACTGCAGGGATTCATATTCTTGGATCTTTCGGTAAAACATGTTTTATTTTATTATTTTATTATTTCCCTTCTACGTGACTTTACCGAAAGATCCAATAATATAACTAAAATTTCATAAGTGTAAGTGTATAAATAGGGTTTAAAGCACATTTTTTTAATGTCCACAGACTGCATTATGTATTACAGCGCGCGCCACATCAATAAAAGCATCTCGAAGCCCTTTACATTAAGTATCGACGAGTAGAGAATGCCAGTTACCACCTGGCATTTCGTCACGGGCAGCTGAGTGGGGGGGTGGGGGAAGTGTTCTGGTCGCTCACAGGTCAGGGAAACCACATGCCCCTGTCTGGCAATTTCGATCCACCAAATCCAGGCATCTAAGCGTACCAAGGACAAATCTGCGTTCAATGGGTGATCGAGGTTTCAGTAGTCAGGTACCTCATTTGTAGATTGTCTTATCCCAGTCCATTAGGGACGCTCCATCAGTCGAGGTTTTTAAGGCTCGTCTGAAAACGCATGTATTTTCTCTTGCGTATCAGTCTTTGTACTCTTAGTTTTAGTGTTTATGGTTTTTACAGGGGTTGTGTTGTAAAGCGCTGTGAGGCCTTGTGTGAATGGCGCGATATAAACTTGAGTTTGACTTACTGTGTTGGCACCGCTGAGATTCTGGTTTCAAATGTTGGGTTTCATCCAGCCTTGATTAAACCGGGTTTCTCTAGTATAGCGAGTTCATCGTCTCAGAGGGTAACCAATGACTGACATAGAGGCTCAGAGACACACCAATAGATGAACATAGACACACACAGACTCACCTAGACTTAGTCGTGAATACATTGGGCTCTCATGTTTAGTGATTTGATATCACCTACATATTGCTTCAGCCGGGTTCTCAAGTCTCGTTAATTGATGGTTTCTACCCGGTCACCAATCGCCTATATGAATCCCCATTGTGTCCGCTGTGTCTCTGTGTCTCCCCTGTGTAACGCCCCCCCCCCCCCCCCGTGTGTCTCCTGGGTGTGTAGCTCGGTTTACCCCGGGTATTTATGGCGGAGATCCTCACCGTGCCAAGGCCGGAGCTGGAGGTGAGGACATCGGAAATTGTGTTGATGAGTTGGGGGGGGAAGGGGTTTAACTTTTTCTAGGATGAAGACAAATAGACAAATGTATACACTTGGATTTGCAAATCTTTGCTTACACGTGTTTGTTATCGGAGGTATATGATCAGCTCTCCCGCACCTCCGATTAGCACGGTTGGCTACGTACTTTGCAAAAGGAGTTCAGCATGCATACATAGTATATGACATTTTTAAAGCATTTGAATAATTTTTTTTAAAGGAGTCTCCGAAGCAAACCCTCGTTTATGAAGAGGTAAGGCTCAAAACTATGCTGTACAGATAGGTCGGCAACCTATTTGTTGTACTATCATTCATTGGCACCGTGCAGTAGATCTGCGGGGCTTGGTAATTCACTCACACAAATAATGTCGCTCGCGTTGACCGAGGTTCTTGTAAGTTGCGGCCATGGCCTGCGTCTGGCTCTCGGGGGGTCTCGGGAGTGGCCCACCAAGAGGTTTGGCCCGCACAGAGATGTGGTTCACGTATAAAGACATAAAATTTTGATTTAAAGCTTTCGTGACTGCAGGGATTCATCTTCTTGGTTCTTTCGGTAAAGTCACGTAGAAGGGAAGTAATAAAATAATAAAAATAAAACATAATAAAATTGTTCATTCAGACTATGTCGCCTCGACGGACCTGGTTTTCACCTGAGGACGGCTGCTTGCATTGTGGCCGAAACATCGTGAGAATAATTTTATTATGTTTTATTTTTATTATTTTATTACTTCCCTTCTACGTGACTTTACTGAAAGAACCAAGAAGTATAGAGACATGCCGATCTCCTAATACGGTATTTTTAGTTGGGTTAGATCTCGTTAATGTAAATGTGTCGTAAACCCTACTTGCACTCGACACAGCCAAACAGTAAGGGTTTGTCACGTGAACAAAACGTGCCAATTAGTTACCATCTTCTTGGTTCTTTCGGTAAAGTCATGTAGAAGGGAAGTAATAAAATAATAAAAATAAAACATAAAATAATTCTCACGACGTTTCGACCTGAGGACGGCTGCTTGCGTTGTGGCCGAAACGTCGTGAGAATTATTTTATGTTTTATTTTTATTATTTTATTACTTCCCTTCTACGTGACTTTACCGAAACAACCAAGAAGATGAATCCTTGCAGTCACAAAAGCTTTAAATCGAAATTTAATTCGTTACTACTTCAGCACACCTGTGTGTTGAAGAGCAAACCTAAAACATCAACAGTTTGAGCACCTGCTTAATCAGGCAATTGACAGAACCCAAACAACTTTATTACGAGTAATGTTGGTCGTGAAAGCCTGCGTGTTAAATAGAGATACCGCTTGGTTCCATGAAAATGAGATGAACAAGAGATAGAAATGAGAGTGTTGTGAGAGGTTCACAAGAGAGAGCCATGCGACATCTGGAGACGAGAGCGGCGCGTAACACGACGGTCACACGTACGGACGCCATGGGCAGCACGTCGCCACGTGCCCGTCATAGTGTGTGGCGTCACGTTGCCCGCCAGGACACTCCGATTTGATCTTGTTGTGGCCCACTGAACTGCTTCTCCGATTAGCACAGTTGGCTATGTATGGCGTGAAAGAAGTTCAACATCTTTTTTCCACCGTGTAAAAAAAAAAGTTTGATGGCCGCGAGACGTTGATGATGATGCTGCTGCTGCTGCTTCGGTTCTGTTTTGCAGGACCTGATGAATTTTGACTTCCAGTTCATCCTGCACGGGGCGTCTCAGAGCACGATCGAGTGGTACACGTGCGCGCACAAGTACAAGAAGGTACAAGCGCGTGGCGGCTGCTGCTGCTGCTGCTGTTTCGCCCGGTGGTCAGAACGCTTGCCAACGAGCCAGTTTGCACAGAGGCAGCAGTTCAATTCCTGCTAATAGATATTTGTGCTGCTCTGTAATGGTTGAAATGCAATGCTCCTTAAATTTACTGTAATCCCATCACGCTGAATCCTTATAATTTAATGAATTAATGCCCTGGTTTAGTAGTATTGACAGCTGTTAAAGAATTGTGAAAGGTTTTTCAGGTACCACCACACACACGCACCACACACACACGCACACCACACACGCACACCACACACACTTTTGTATGTATGTAAGTTGAACTTCTTTTGCACCGCACGTAGCCAACCGTGCTAACGCCACACACACGCTCCAAAGACAACACACACACACAACACGGATTGATCATCTTGCCCTGGCCAGACATGCGTAGAATCGTGATCAAAAGAAGTCGGGTATGGTGATTCATTACATGAGTTGTGCAAGTTCAAGCAAAGGCCGGTAATGTAGTTTCACCACCCCCCCTTCCAAAATAACCCCCCCCCCGCCTCACAGCTGAGGCCTCGTAAAGAGGACAAGAGGCCAGACGGCGAAGAGAGCGATGATGAGAAATGCACCATCTGTCTGTGCGAGCTGGAGGACGAGGAGGATGTGAGGTTTGTGAATTGCCGTTGCTTGCTCTTCCTTTATATATTTTGGCACAGCACAGCGCCGCTTATCCCACTCGCTGTGGACTGATTGTACAGGTTGCTCTGTGAAAAAGTCAGATGTGTGAACATGGATGGAACATGAAAGGTGCATCACAAAAACTGCACTGGGTGTGGGCGGTCAGTTGGTCAGGATGAATTTGTGACCTCAGATATTCAATGACCGGGGAAATCTCTGCTGTGTGCCCCCCCCACCCCCCATGCCTCATTCTGCCCCTCCCTGGTGGTACAGGAGGCTGCCCTGCATGCATCTCTTCCACCAAACGTGCGTCGACCAATGGCTCGTCACCAACAGGAAATGCCCGATCTGCCGGGTCGATATCACAGCTCAGCTGCCCGTGAAACCCTGATCAGTTCGGAGCATCATCCCCCCCCCCTCTTCTCTGCCCCTCCCCACTGCCCCACTCCCCACCGCCCCACTCCCCACCGCCCCTCTCCCCACCGCCCCTCTCCTCCGACACACGAGACCCACAATGCGATGAGATGCCTACCTTCCTCACTGCAGTGCACACACACCAGTAGTGTAGTCCTACCCGTACAGCCCCCGTTGCGTGTATACAGCCCGTGCGATGATCCACTGCTGGACGACGGCCTTGCCCTCGTACAATGCGGGTCGTCGGGGTTATTTGACCGCACTCCCCCCCTCCCCTCCCGCTGGTCAGCGCGGGTCGGTGAAGGCGGGGAAGTCTGGTTGGCGCAAAGGAGGACGGTGCAAGCCGCTTCACAAAACTGTTCCTCGTAAAAAGCTGGTTTGGGAGAGGTTCAGTTGTAACCCGTCCAGCATTTGAAACGGTTTGGTCAAAGCTGCTGGGCGAGATCCAATTATTCCACGCGACGAGGGCTGTTCGGTGCAGACGCAGCGCGATGCACCCATTCGTCCTGTAAGGACAACGATGATCACGCGATGGAGCTTGTGGATCGCCGGTTTTCACGCGGTGTCTGCGGTGGCCCGGTAACCTCTGTTCACGACGACGTTTTACAAAGAACCTGTTCTCCCGCATTGAATCGTGATCTGTGAATCGCAACGATTAATCGAATCGCAGGGCAGGTGAAATCGATACGCCGCTGCTCCTGGCGTAACTCTCTTTATTGTCGCAATCCTTGCACTGGATATTTTTCTGACCTATTATGATCTCTCGAGGAGATGGTATCTGCCATTGATGTCGTTTCGTATATTTTGCACTTGCATCCCTCTGCTGCGTACACGCACACCTGCTTGGCATTCCGTCGTCGACTTTTTGCTTTCCTGCCTCCCACACTTTTGAATTTACGGCACGCTGTTTGTTTTTGTCACTCGATTGTACGATATGCAGCCATTTGAATAGGCGTAGTTAACCTACTGGATTGTTTTGCATTCGTTTTAACGTTGGCATCAGAATGTTTTTTTTCTTGTTATTTTGTTGAAAATAATCTCACCCGTTCTCTAACAAGGTTGACCAGATGATCGATAGAAAGGCCAGTAAATAATGAGGTCTTCAGACGATGAACAAATCCTCTCAAGAGGGTACAGATCTATCTGTTACGTGGTCTTTAGAGACGAACCACTTATGATCGGCTCTTTATACAACAGAATAGACAAACCAGTTCCTGATTGAGCCTCTAGACAAATGTCATAAAAAAAAAATCTCAAGTAGGCCCTAAATTTGCTTTGCCGTTTCTGCGGCTCCCCTCGCGTTGAACGAAGATCTCCGATTTTCATTGTTTCGCGCACAAAGGTGGGAATGATGTAGAAGCAAAGTTTGATGTGTTTTGAGGTTGAGCAAGTGCTGCTTTGAACCTTCGCAAAGCACCCACGGTGATCGAAGTTAGACATTTTGCGGTGTTTCATGCTGCGCCCCTATAAGCTGAGCGCAGGTTGGGATATTTTTTTTTCCCCCGTTAGGAAAAAATAAGTCATGGTTTCTTGCATGAAGACCTTGCGCTGTTTTTGAAGCACGTGTTCATTTGGTGCTTGCGTCACGTTTCGGTTTCGCGTGACGTTTTCGACTCCCATGACGCCCGCAGAATTAACAGTTATGTCACGCAGCAGCTTTACGCTGAAAATGTTAACAACAAAAAATCGCCACCCATCGGCTTGTTGCAGGGAGAAACCTCTACACGGCACACGTGCAGCCCATTTGTCAGACCACTGCTGGATGAGGGCCTTCCCCATGCCTGTGTGGGTCGTGGCGATTATTTGACCGTACTTTGCCACGCTGAAGTACGGTAAACGCAGGTGGCATCGACGCGAGAGCTTCGAAGTGCAGCAAAAAAGTATCCTGCTGCCCACCACATAGCTCCAAAGCAGCCTATAACACCTGTTTTGCATGGTGGTCACCCATCCAGGAAGCAACAATAGTCTAATCCTGCAGTACTTTTTGCGTTGATCTTTTTTTTTTGCAAGCACATCGGTGCAATAGAGTCTGTGCAAGTTTGTGGTTAGAAGAAACGCAATAATAAAAACATGTTTAAGGTGAAAATAACGTTACTGTAAATGGCTCATCTTGCTGTGAATACAATAACATTTTCCTCAATATAGTTGGAATGGGTACACCACATCCCTCACATGTAACAAGGTTTGTTTTTGGACAGTGGACCCATCAAAAGTGAACAAAAAAATGCATTGTAGTCCTGAAGCTGAGTGCGCACAGCAATGATTCTTTGGTGTTGAGCTGCATCCCCATGCCGTGCAGGTTCCCGTAATAAAGTTCAACACAGCAATGCCGGCACCAGATCTCTGTATGAATCAACTCCTGCCGCCCAAACACATGCCAAACTTTCAAACTGTTCTGGTCAAACCCGGACAGGTGGCCACCGTAATTAAAATCAGATATTGTGGGTATGTTTTGACACATTCCTGCGGAGGGAGCTGGTAGGAACGTTGGGTTGCTCGGTCAATGGCCAGGGTCAATGGCGGCGCGGTGTATTCCGCAAATATGGCCGACTGAGAGGGTGGGCACAAGTCGGCGTGAGTAGGTTAAACGTTGAGTTTTATAAGAGCACCACGGGGTGACCAGCCCCTCCCCACCCAGCCCCACCCCTCCCACCCAGGCCCACCCTCCCCACCCAGCCCCTCCCTGCACGACGGACGGACACAATCCCCTGTGGGCTGGTGTCACCAGGAGGTTCCTATCAGTATAATCATAGCTGTGTAAGTGTTGCCACTGGAGAAACAAAGGCAGCCAGGTGTGGTGTTGGCCACCTAACCCCTTGTGTGCCGTACCGGTCTTTACAGCTGAGCGAGATGCGGGGAGGAAGTGGGTGAGCTAGTGGAAGGAAATAGGAATATGGAGAAACAGAGATAAATTGGGATATCCAGTACAGATAAGGCAAGAGAAAGCTGCGAGACAGGGCTCTATAGAAGATGAAACGTTTTTCTCTGGCTGGGAGGGAGGGCTGGACAAACATTCAAATGACGCGCAGGTTGCTCAGTCTTACCCAGGGCGCACCACGGTAAGAGGAGTCAAGGATGCAATGCACGGAGAAAGCACGGAGAAAGGACAGAGTGGGAGAGGAGGCCGGGAAGAAGTCCCCACCATGAAGATGGACAGAGGAGGCCGAATGGCACGGCTCAAGACGAGCGAGGGGGCGGAGACGCACCGGGCCAGAACTTTATCCAGCAGTGGATTTGGCAAGGGCCGGATAAAACAGCACTACCCCACCGTGACCCACAAACCCGAAATGAATGAATGGCCAGCTTCACGTTATTTAACAGACGCCAGTTTAATGTGATTCACAACCGCGTTGGGAAAAGTACGCATGCCCGGCGGGTTAACAACGTATACAATACACACATCCGCTGTACACTCGCTCGCACTCAACTCTCATCCGACACACGCAACTCACTCGTCCGTAACTTGGATTTTATACACCACCGAAATCGTCACGAACATGACAGCAGTCAAAACTTTCAGGTAATTCATCCGCTACACACTGGCGATCGTGACTTTGACAGAATTTGTTTTATGATGTTGCAGGGCTAGAGCTGAAATTTGTTACAAGATGCAGGTTTTTTTTTTGCTTGCAACTTGGAAAGTCCATCTATTTGAAAAATGTTGGGCTCTAATAAACACAACTCAAATGTATAATTCATTGAATGGGGTGAGAAAAGGTTCCGAAGTATTGTCTCGTGCAAAACTCTTCTGAATATACAACCACCATCGGTGAATCGAGACCGACCCCCGTGGAGTGATGCAACAGCCGATAGAAGCACCGTCATAAAATACAGCAGAGTTCTTACTGTTCATAATAAGGTTTTTTGGCTTAGATCGCGTGAGTATAAATATGTAGTTAACCTGCCACAGCCAACCAGAAAGGTTTGTCTCGTAAACGTGCCAATTAGTTACTAGTTTAGCCAACCGGTGTGTTGGAGTAAATCCACATTTACAATGAGTACCGTGACATTTCGCTTGTAATTACATCCAACATCATCGGGCCATTTTGCCAGATGATGCTGGATTTTGCCAGAATTTAGCGATCCAACCCAAAAAAAAAACCTTTACGAATAATATTGGTCACGTACACCTACGCGTCAAATTGAGCTGTGTTTATGCATTGCATTTTTGTGCTTATCGTACGCAACTGTTAAATGCACGCCGGGTTTTCACTCATTCCCAGGGGGGACTTTGCCAGTTTCCTGGCCATTACGGTAACGCGGACAAAACGTTGGCATTTCTTTGTGGTGCGAAAGCGCGAGTGTCCAGAAGAAAACCCACACATGCGAGGAAGAACACTTAGGGCCCCCCACCGCACAACCTTTAAGAACCTACTTGCTGTACTGCCTTCAACAGGCACCACCTCTCGTCTTATGTTCTATGTTGATATCTGAACAGCTGAAAACAGTGTATAAGCAAATAATACTCAGTTATCAAAACTTTTAGACTGCTCCCACAGACTCCAGCACCGCGTGAATACAAAGTCAAAACGCAAACACTAACCTCTTAAATAAAATGTACATCAGCCTTAAAAATGTATATAAATACTGTACATTATTTTTCATTTTTTTCAACTTTTTTGTAAAAAGTATGTTTTCTTCTCTTGAATCTATTGTTCAATACAAACAGTTGAATTTCATTTTATATAGCCTTTTAAAAAAATTATCATCTTTTCTTCGCTGGATGACGATTAGGGTCCATGTTAGTGTCACTATACAGAAACGTGGTGTGGCACGGCAGCGCAGCGGATAACACGCTGCACAGTTAACCCGGCGACCTGAGTTCGTTTCCCCAGCCACGGCGAACATCGGTGGCAATTTATATATATGAACTGGTCCTCAGCCTCCCCTCTCACTGACCAGCATGGTGAAGCATGATCGTACCGCCCCCCCCATGACCGACGCAGGCGTGGGGAGGACTTCATCCAGCAATTGACTGACAAATATCTATACACATCATTCAGCATTATTATGATTTCTACACAGAACTGTACATTGGGTGGTATGGGTATGAACAGCACACTTTGAATGCATGTTTAAAAACAACAACAAAAATGCTCAAAAAGGAACAAAAAGCAGGTTACAACGGCATTCCAGAAAAAAAAGGTAAGAAAATATATCTATTCGTCTAGTAAATACATTCAACTTGAGAGCTGTAATAAAACAACTCCTTACAAACTAACTTCATAAAACAGAGGGTAATTGGGTTAAGTTTTACACAAATGCCCGTGTAAAAATAACGAGAAAAACCGCCTCCCCATGTCTATGAATGTACACACAAACTGCGCGCTGTGCGAATAATTGTAGAGTTCTTCCTGGAAAATGTGTTATTTTTTGTTATAATGCACAAAGCTTACTCTATGGGTTTTTTTAAATTTAGAATATAGATCTGTAGCATTGCGATTAATGGGTGGCGCCCCCTAGTGGCTGGAGGCTTTACGCAAACTCCACACAATAGTAAAACATCGATTATTACACCATTGGAACCTCATGCCAGTATTAAACATAACTCTGATAATGTATGCACTGTCCTTGAAGTTGAATGGTCCACACCCGAGACAGCTTTCCTTAGAGCCTAGTCTCACATGGTGTTGGACCAGATGACGCCAAAAGGCGTACATTATCAGAGTTATGTTTTTTGTTTGCATTATGACTGCAGGTATTGTGGTCTATGCAAACATGACTCCTTGTAAAAAAAGGTGTCAGTTTTGTTGCCAGATAAAAGGGTAAAAAAACAATTATCGATTCTTACATGCACACACGCAATTCGATGCATGTAACGCAAGCTTTGAGAATCAAAATTCATAATCGCAACGTCCTACCGCTCGTCCTGTATTGTACATCAAAACACAATTGAAGAATTTTTTTGGAATACGGCGGAGAGTTAATAGCTGCCAAATTTAAAAACATCAAAATCGGCTCGCTTCCATGTGCGTAAATTTGTGACGGAGCACAACATCCGAGATAAAAACAAAAGGATATCATCAACCAAAGCCGAATAACTCGAAGGGTGCCCGAGACTCGGAATGAAAGTGGCATTTGAGAGTCGCTGCGCCTACGATTGATTCACAGCCACCATTCCTCCGACACGGAGGATGGAGAGAAAATAAATAACTGATATGGCCAAAAATATGGGACGATGCTTCAGCAAATCGGCACAGGTGGAAGCTATGAAAATGAACGATTTATGACAATTTACATCCATTCCTATAACTAGCAGGCCATATTAGATGTTATTCAACAAATGTGTAATATGCATAGAGGGGATGCTACGAGTGGAGCGTGTGGTTCGACACATTCTCACGCACACTTGCCAAGAGGGGGAGGCATGTACCCGATTATCCTCACGACCACCCCATAGTGATGCAATACTGTGACTATCCAGGGTAGCTGATTCAATGCGAGTGCCGAGTTTCGTCTCATTTTTACAATATGAATCGTATCGTTTACTGCAGTTCAGTGATATCATTTGTACAGTTCTGTTTGAATTCCACGAGCCAAAATATCCAACCCATGAGCTTATTTAATTGCGTGAGAGTAGATTGTAACCGATGAACAGATGCGACGATACACTCCTAACAGAATGGGAACCATGATAACGATGACTCAAACTACCGTCCACTGTTACCACCGACACTGGAGAGGGCCAATCACCACGAGGCATTCAATGGGGGGAACCGTGAGCACAGCGAAAATGTTTTATAGAGCATTGCGGTGTTAGGGATCGGGTCAGGGACAGAGTTAATGCCAAGCGGCTGGTTGGCTCGTTTGTTAGGGTTGGCCTTGTGTCGAGGTGGCTGATTTGCTCTGCCTGCGAGCAGTTTTCCCCCACTGCCGAGCCATTTCACCGATTTCTGTCCACTCAGGTGGGCACAAAGCACAGGTCAAATTTTCCCATGGGCAGTTCCACGGTTTTCGGACGTAACATTTTTGACACTTTATAGATGTGGCCAATCAATAGTAACCGAACGGAGTGGCTTTCAACTCAACAACGTACACCGTCAGCCAATTACAGCTGTGATTGAGAGACAAATAAATTGTCCATGCTTGATTAGAGTAATTCTCGTAAATTACCGTGGTGTTGGGACGTACTAAGACAATACGACTTTTTCATCCATGCTGGGAAGGTGGTGATGGTGCAATCATTTTCCTGTACAGTCCATGGTCAAACCACCACCTTATGCCATGAATAATTAATATTGCAAACATATAATTACTCGTAATATAGCACCAGATAACATTATTCGGATGGTTTTACAAATGTTGACTCTTAATGAGGTTGCCAAATTTGTGCAA